GGGGGGAGCGGCGAAGCTAGGCCGCGGCAGGCCCCGGCCCCGCGGCACGGCGGGGGTTTGCGTAGAGCGGGGGGGATGAGAAGAGTGTGGGGAGAAAACAGAAGGAAAGAAAAAAAAAACGTTAGTATAATATGGTGTTGCGAAAGGACTGAATTAGTTCCTGGTGCCTTATCACCTCTAGCAAGCAAAGATGACTGGTAGCTTCCAAAAATAGCTTGCTAATGCTGAGGGGCAGTGATGGAGGTCAATCCAGCATAGTTAAATATAGAGTTGTTGTTACTGGGCTCCAAGCAGAGTCATGTCGTCTTCTGTAACGGTTAGGTGCTGCTGGGGATCAGTAATTGCGCAGTGCTGTGAAGGAGGAAGGTGGAAGGAGGTGGTGACTTTGCTCACAGTCTCAAGTTCTTCCAGGCTGCACCTAGCTAACGAGCTGGTGGCAGGAACGAGCTTTGCTCTGCTGAATAGTTCACGTTTATTTTAGTACTGCACCAGCCGTGCGGGTTTTAGCGAAGAGCGTTACAAAAGGCAAACACAAGCCTTTCTTTCCAGAAGTTTACCAAGTCAGAGATAAGGTGCACTTGAGAGGGGTGGCTGGCCAAAAGGTTGCAGCAATACAGTTGTGAGTATGTTGTGCAGGAGTGTACGTCTTGATGGGTATTTGAGTTGGTGACGTTTTTATCAGTTTTTGAATTAAGTGATTATTAACTTCAGTCTAGGCATAGTAGAAGAAATATCCTTCACAAAGTATAGGAAATCATATATGAATTTGGGATGACCTTGAGGTAATCTGTAAAGGCAAGAGATTGTCTGCCAAAGGTGGCTTCTTGTAGTTTGTCTGGGGTGCGTATCTGATAGGAGACAGTCGATGTTTGGGGCTCTGAGAGGAGGATTTTGCAGCGCATTTGGGCATTTGTCTGCATCTGCAGCAGCCTTGCATAAGAGCAAAACTGGAAGATCAGAGCTGGATGTACTGCATGTGAACATCTATCAAATTATGGAAAATTTCAACATTTTGGGGTTTTTGTGTCTTTTTTCACTGACATGTCCCGAAGCAGAAATTTATGAGACTGTTTCATGAAAGTGTTCAGTTGTCTCTCTTACACGCCTCTAGTTAACGCACAGTCCAGTAATGTTCAGATGGTTTCTATCCTGCATTACTTTGTCTTTCTCAGTGGATTGTCACCTAATGTGATTCTTCCTGTTTTAGGTGCAGTTTCTGAGCCCATGAAAAGTATTTTCAGATGCATCTCTCAAAAAAAATTTGCTACTATGCAAACATTTTCCTCCAAATTTCAAAAAGTTTATTTTCATGAATAATTAAGAAAATAAGGAAAAAAAACTGAAAACAGACAAACAGCAAGAAAACAAACGAAACTTAAAGTTAAAACACGCTTCTCATGACACTCGGTAAGATTTCAGATAACAACACACAGGGATTCAGGCTCTTGTGCCAGGACTTCCCCCAGCTCACTCAAGCTGTATGTGGGATACACAATGAGGTACCTGGGCAGGTTCAGACCGTAACCTATTAGCAATAATCAACAATTCTATAAAGTTGCAGTAGTGGAAAAGGGGATTTTTTCCCTCCCCCTAAGGAAATAGGGAGCATGGTGATTTTTGCCAGCAGCAGGCACACATTTTGGAACTTCGGGGTTTATTACTGAGTAAAACCAATTCTTTGGGCAGTTCTCCCCGTTCCTGCACGAGGGATCCTTGCTGTCTGCTGAAATGGGTGAAGGGAGACCAGTGGCTTGTGTGAAGCAGGGAAAAACAGTTACTCTCACTAGGGCATTGCCCCCGTCTGTGAAGTGTGGAAACCTGTGCAAAGTGTGGAAATCCAGGAAGAGGCAAATAGTGGCATCACCTGTTTTCCCTGGAGAACCAGTCCACGTACAGGACTGGTCACAGAGGCAGCAGAGACTGGAGGTCCCTCCCTCAAACACAAATACTACTATTTATGCTCAAGTAGGGTCCTTTCCCACCCCCCCCCGACTATATAAAAGAAAACATGTATATTTGCAATCAGATAGCTCTATCAGGTGGGTTGCACAAGCCGGTGCAGGGACACATGCCCTAGACGCTCTGGTTATGTTCTACACAGCAGTTGCTGCCAAGATTGCAATGCAGCAGAGGTCTATTCAGGCTAGCTTTAAACTGCCTCGCTCAGGGACTAATTCCGCCCCTCCAGAAGCACTGAGTTACCACAGGCTAACTGCCCAAGTATTCGCCCATGCTCTCAGATTGGTTTTGCAGCTCCTATTGAGGCCAGCGCTCCTCCAGGCGGGCTGCTAACTGCCTCCAAGCTATCTAGTTTAAAGCCAGCTTGTATTTTTCTACGTCACAAGGCAGCAGCAAAAGCACAACTACAGTGTAGACATAACCTGTGTCTCTCAGACCCCAAGTGCAACTTTATTTAGACAGCCAAAAAATAGGTAAATAAAAAACAAACTTTCTGGGGTGCTTTTGGAGAGAGCTGCCTCGTGGGTCCGTATTCCTCAAACACACTCAGCTAGGATACCTTCATTTTGCCTTTCTCAGGAGCCGCCTCATGGGCAAGGGGCTGCTCGTCCCCGTTCACCGACAGGATCCTCTTTTCTGGCGGCTGCTCCTCAGGCTGACGGGCAATCAGCAGGCGGCAAGTAAGCAGGATCCCAAAGACTAGGGCATGGGCATAACGCTTGAGTGGATCCCCCACTAGCTGGTGGAAAAAGAGCACAGCCAGCACGAGGAGGAGGAGGAGAAAGTTGGCCACGTCCTTGGGGCGACCGGGCACCAGAGTCATGACAATGCCACATGCCACTTCCAGGGCACCGATGCTCTTGCGGAGAAGAATGGAGCTGACTCCCATCTTCTTCAGCATGGGAAGGGCCCGCACGTAGCTTTTGTAGGCTCGTTTCTGGAATCAAACAGTTAGAGTGTAGAACACCGTAATGTGAGCAAGTAAAAAGGCTTCCAGTCAAACAGATTGATCTGCAATACGATGTAAAGATCCCTTCAGTCACCGCAGACCCTCTGGCTTGATATCCAGCCTGCACCTTTAAAGCTACTGTTAGAAGGATATTCACACCCACCGTCAGCCTGCAATTCCCCCTTTATGGGGGAATATGTTGTCTCCTAGCTGGATGCATCTCCTAGCTTTATACATTGTCTCCTAGCTGGAGAACAGTTCGGCAGCGTAGCACCTATTTCTTGAGCTAGGACCGGCCAACAGTGCCTTCTCCTGAAGTCTGAAGTTACCATTGCTAAAATTAACAATGCAGAACCACGTTATTAAAAAAATACCTCTCTCCAGAAGGGGCATGCCCTTTATAATTAAATAATGCACCTAGTCCCTGCAAAGCCAAAGGACAAAGTAAAAACAGAAGTCCCTTTCCACCGCAAAGCAACCTAGAATATCCCAGTACAATCTTAGCGTGGGACTGTACGCCAAAGTTGAGATTCACCAAGCCTACTGCTCCTGTTCCTACACAGCTTTACAATCTCTTCTTTCCTCTGCTAAAAGCAAGCTGACTTTTGCCATCCTTGCTGTCTGGTTTCTGCTGGATTGAGAAGCTGTATAGTTACAAGACAGCCTCCTTAAACGGACACCTCATTCTTAGAGGGAAAAACAACCTCCCTAAGAAGATACATCTTATATTCTTGCATCTCTGCTGCCTAATCAGGGAGAGAAAAACAGAAGCCCTAATCTCAGGTACATGGTTGTGCAGATCTCACATGTGCTAATCAGAGCGTAGATCAGAGGTAATTTTGGAAACATGCATTATGGGCACACAAAACTTCCCCGCTTGCCTGTGAACGTTGCTGCTTCCTTCTTAGAGAAGCTGATGAAATGCTGCACGTGCAGGGAAAAATTGTGCAGCGTTCTTGTTACTAAATAACTAAAGATCCCATGACATGTCTTCTCTGAGTGTATTTATGTTAAGAATGCACTTTAAACCTTCAGCGAGTAAAACCTTTCCTGAAAGCACCAATTTTTTAACCCGCTGTGAAAGATACAGCTTTATAACGAAACTTATTGGTACCAGTGCCCTAAAGCACTCTGATATTTTCAATGTTTTAATACACAAACTAATGTGTATGCTTTTTGCTGAATGAAATCAGCTGCAAATTTGGTGTTGTCAGGAGGTAAGAGAGGGTCTCCCTGTGCTTGGGGCAAGAGGCCACGTTTATTGATTGCCAAGACCGAGTTCTCACTCGCTGTCCCCATTACGTTGCAGACCACCCTAGCGCGCAGCACAGCAAAAAGCACAAAAGCCTAACGGGCCATGAACATGTTACAATACAGCGTATTAAGGCTGTCCAGTATCTGAACATCTCTGCCTTCTCTTTTGTAAAAATGGGGATAATTCCTACCTGTAGGCCTGATTCTTTTTGGAAAAGTAGGAAGGGACCCTCAGAGAAGCAAAGTATTATAGGGAGCAAGGATTTTGCAATGCTTCTCACGTTTCGGCACTTTTTTTTCCCCCCTTAATTTTACTTCTGCAGCCGCAGCTTAAGAGCTTTATTTTCTGCACATTTTGTCTTCATCTCTTGCTGCCCTGTTCTCTCTTGGTGATTGCTCTCGCCGAGCTGTCTAGGCTGGGGTGCGGGCAAGGCGCAGCGATTCAGAGGTTATTTGAGAGCTAGGGAAAAGCAGCTGGGCAGGTGCACGGAAGGGAGAGAGCAGAACGTGCTGGAAACTGCCGTCACTGTTTCTTAGGGGCCCAAAAATAATACCCACACCTTTGAGCCCTTGCAATAAACGTAACAAAAATGGGGGAGGGAGGGAGCAGGAGGGCAAGCAAACGGAGAGGAGGAAGCAAAACGCAGAGGACGGTCCCTCGGCCTGCCTGCGGCCCTCAGCAGGTGAAGCTTTGCAGCGGGTTTGGCCCTGGGCAGAGAGGAACAGAAACTTGCTAACCAGCCAAAAAACGCACATAGAGACTTCTCCTTCTTCTTCTCGCCCCTTTCCCGTTTGCAAGGGGAGGAGAGGCTGCAATCTCAGGCTAAAGGGCATAATAATCATAATGCAACTGTTAATAATATCTTCTTCCTCTAGATAAGAGTCTCAAAGTGAATCCCCACGCAAGGCCGGCGAGGTAGGGACGGTCTTTGTTGTTATCCTTGCTTTAAAGCACAGATAATTCGGAGAATGGTTATCTGGCTTGCAAAGCAGGCAGGCGTCCCCGTTTTTTCTTTTCCAGGGGGTAGGTATCCCCCCGCCCACGGATCGCTGTACCTGCCTGCTGCACCCTCCCTCAGATCTTGCTTTACAGAGACCTGAATTTCCCCCTGTTTTTGCAGGCATCCGTGCGCCTTCATACCCCATCCTGCTCGCCTCCTCTCCCTCCTCCCTTCCCCGTCCTTGTCCACGGGAGGTTTCTCTGTAAATAGGCTCAAACGGAGCCCAAGCGACGGCTGCCCGGGTATTCTCCGCGCTCCATGTTATTTGTTTCCCTCTGTGTCCGCCAGATAAAGAGGCGGAGAGGCTTCGCAGAGCCGTCTGCCCTCTCGCTCCCGTCGCTCCGGGCTCCGTCGCCGTCTCTGCAGACGTTGCTCCCGCTCGGCTGCTCGGGTTGAGGGGCGCGAGCCCTGCCAGCAGCACGTCTCCCGCACCGCCGTACTCACCATCTCGTTGTAGGCGTCTCTGCTGAGCCGAGGGGTCAATTTGATGGTCCCCATAAAGACGAAGAAGAGCCCCAAGGCCACCGAGAGGGCGACGATGGTGATGGTCCTGGGAGATGCCATCGATCCGCCGGGAAGCGGTCCTAGCGAGGCCTCGCTGTGGCTGGCCGCCCGGGCAGGAGGTAGTCCGTCACCATTGAAGGAGATGGGGAATAAGGCTGCAGAAGCAGAGGATGACAGCGGGAGAGGGATTCGGCCTCCTCCGCTCGGCAACCTCCGGGTCCTAATGCCCCGCAGCAATGCAACCGGAGCCAGGCCGTCGCTGGCGCCTGCTGAGCTCCGGGAATGCCCACCGCCACAGTCACCTATGAACACTCCTCTGTTTCCTCGCACGCGCCGTAAATTACACACAAAGCCGAAGCGGAGCCAGTTCTAGGGAGGTGGGAAGGCAGCCAAACGCATAGCACAGTTGCTCACTAGTGGGAAAACGAGGACATTTTAGCAGAGGGCACCGGAGCAACCTACTACCGAGGAAATGCGGTCGGAGAGCTCTGGTACGCAGGCTGGTTACAGACACTAGGAGTTTTTTCAGATACTCAATACACAGTAAACCATGTGTTGCTTAATATATTTGCTCCAGCAGAGTAAAAGAAATGTCTTGTCCCTGTGGCGGTCCTGAAACCTGATGTCCAAAAGGGGACAGTGACCCCCCCCCCCCCCCCCCAAATTGCAGAGAAGCTCCATCGCTTGTCCCAGATGTTTAGTCTCCAGAGATCAGTGGGGCAGTTTCCCGATGCTGTCTCACTTTCTGATTTAGTCACCCTCTCTCCCCCTCCAATTTGCAACAGGTTTTCTTTTGACACAAGCAAAGCTGGGTTAGGCAGAAATCCATTCGCATCTCGCGGCAAGAAGCCAGGCTACAATGGTACCAACACCACTGTTGAAAACTGCATCCCTCGCTATGAACCCCAGATGAGAGGCTGTAAAAATGTGCAAAAGTCTTATACTCATGGGAGAGCAAAAGAGATGAGCGAGCAATCTGCCCCACCACCTCCCTGTCTGGTCTAGCATCTGTCTGTTGTAGCAAGTGCCAGGTGCTGACCCCATTCAGCCTCTGCAGCCTGTGAACTGACTGGTGGTGGTGGTTGTTCCAAGATCACGGTTTCTTAGCACTGCGCTTACAAGTCTGAAAAACACTTGGAACTGTGCTCCTCAGGACAGACAGTTCTCCCTGCTTCCTTAGGTGGTTTGTTAACCCTTTATTCACCCAAATCAGTTAGGGAATTCCTCTTTCCGAGTCAAATTCAATGGCCTAACTCCTGATATGTATTCTACTACTGCTCTGGCCTAGATGATCAGGATTAACCCAAAAGGTAACTTCAATACAACGTAAGTGTCACAACTCAGAAAAAACAACAGCAAAAAAGGAGCCCTTGAGACAACACAGAGTCCACAAAACAAAAGGGAAATCTTTGCTGACCTGGACCTACCTACAGTTTGTAGCAGCTTCATCTTTTGAAGAGCTGGTGAGAGCTAGTAATAAAAACAGCAGTTCACGTAGCATCAAAGTTTCCAGCATGGCAGGACAGATTCAAAGTAGACCATATTTCTGAATTAGCTATCACAGTGCAACTCGATAAGAAAACAGCTTGTTGCTGCTGACTTTCTAGGGGGCATTTCATATTTAGATATCAACAAGCATTAGCAAAGAAAGGGGATGGGTGTATGGAGGAAGAAACACTGAAATCTGCACCCTCTTCATTTCAGTTTATAGAAATAGCTTTCTCATTGTCCCCTTATCCATATGACTGGCAGTGTATCAATACTGCTTTTGAAGTTTATATAGGAAATATTTTCCCAAAATTGATGAGTTTCCCCCATGAAGCATGAGAATTCCTAGTTCCTGAAGTTCCTTCATAGGAAGTTCACTATCAACTTTAAAAACACCTGAAATAGCCTTGAAGCAAGCAGAAAACTAATGACATGACAATATCAGAAAATACAGTGGGGATTTTCATGCTTTATATTTGCATGCAGATGGTGAAAATTCACAGTATCAGGAGGAGGCTGAAGAGGTTTCCAGGCTACTTTGACCAGCAGCCAAAGAAGAGATTCGGAGGGGAGGAAGGGATTTTGAAGTGATACCAAGAATCTTTTCACCCCCAGAAATCTGGGTGTTTCCATACAGAACAGTGTAGTCAGGCAACCCAAGGTAAAAGCAAAAAGATTTATTTATTTCTATACGCATTTCAAGAAAATAAATTAAAAGCATAAGCACATCCATTCCAGCCTTCAGAACACTTGGAGGTTGCTTCCCCAGCTCTCAGAGCTTGCGTACCTGCCTGGCTCATCAGCGGGTGAACAGCAGCACCAGCTCACAATGAACGGTGTGTGGAAACAGGTCAAAAGGTATAGCCAAGGTGGGGGCAAACGGCTCTCCTTCCAGCTTCTTCCTGGGGTCAGGTGGACAGCACAATCTACAGACAGCAAAATGTTTGAAGGGCATCCTTTAGACCAAGAGCAGAAGCCTTGCCACTGCGCAGTAGTGCAATAGGACAGAGGACGCATGAAGGAGGTATCTAGTGTTTGGCGAACATCCATCAGAGCCTGCAGTTGACACTGATATAAGGTCTGGAACCACCCATATTGAATCCCACCAGCCCTGAAAAACCTCACGGAGAAGCTGAAGGGTTGGTGGTCGGTTTCAGGCTTCATTTCACACAAGCCATCCCAGCTCAAAGACACTTAATACGAAGAGAAAATGATCCTCAGTCTGGCGGTAGCTTCATAGGATATCTGCCGGCAATTTTATCATCTGCGAATGTGTTTGCCGCAGAAAAACATGTAATTATTTGATTAACCTTAAGCAGGTGACTAATCCTACTGACTTCACTTCATTGGACAGGGGCCCATGTTCCTGCGGTGAACCTAGGGGACTTGATATCCCACTGAGTGGCTAGGCCCGGATCATACCTGCAGAATTAATCCAGTGACATTCAGTCACAATAAAAACCTTCCTGAGAAACAGCCAGATATTTCTGTCTTTGTCCTCAGGGCACAATAAGCTCTATCACTAATGTCAGTGGAAAGGAAGGGGTGGTGGAGTGCTCACTCAAGAAAGTTCCTCATGGCTTCACCCTCCGGCTTGCAGGAGACGTAGAGCAGCCTTCGGATGGCCTTACAGTTTCGGATGGCTCGCACAACCCTGTAATCTGCAAAAACAGAAAGACACCAAGCTTGGCTACTGAGACACCATGACAGCATGTTCTCCAGAAAGAAAGATTACAGGTCCAGTACCACAGAACTGCACTGAACTGACCAAAATAAAGGGAAAAGCGAATGTTGCATATTTTGCCACGTCCTTTCTCAGGTGCAGGAGGCCAAGGATGCAGCTCGCACTGCCAACACCTCAGCCAAATTTGGCAAGGTAGAGCTGAGGGAGAACTCCCTCTGCTTTCCAGGAGAAGGAAGGATGAGAGAAAATTTGTTAAATGAAACAGAGGCACATAAAACCTTCCCTATACACTTGTGGGACCGCATCTGCACACTATCTCCAGTTTGGAGCTTCCCAGGACACACTGGAGCAAGTGCAGGGGAGGCCACCAAGATGCTCAGAGGGCTGGCGCACAGCACGTACGAGGAGAGTCTGAGAGAGCTGGGGCTGCTCAGCCTGAGGATGGAAAGGTAAGAGAGGCCTGCAGTGGCCTGATAGGACAGAGGCCTGTCTGCAGTGGCCTGATAGGAGGGTTATAGAGAAGATGGAGCCAGACTCTTCTTGAAGGTGCACAGTGACAGGATGAGCGACAAGAGACACTTTGCATCAAGGGGAAGTTCTAATTAGATGCATTAGGGAAAACATTCTCAGAAAGAGGGGCATCAAACATTGGGACAGGGGCCCAGAGAGGCTGGGGAATTTCCATCCTTGGAGACATTCTAGCTTCAGCTGCAGGAAGCCCTGTGCAACCTAATATAACTCTGAAGTCAGCCTTGGATTGGCTGGGGGATTGCACCAGAGACCTCCGAGGCTCTTTCACTCCTCAAATACTCTCTGAGTCTATGCAAGATGAAAAAAGATTAGTGCTGTCTGCTTTAAAGAGAAAGCAGGATACACAGAAGGCAGCAGACTCCACAGAAAAGACTGATGGGCAAGGCCCACTTTTCACCTTCTCACAAAGCAAGAATCAAAAGCAGCCCAAACGCCTTGTGTCAGCCTTATGAAAGGACTGGCTCTCTCAGAGCACGCCATAAGCCTGCTGAGCTCTGTGGGCCAACACGGCACCACGGCCAAGCTTGCCAACTGCAGGATTTCTTACTCCTTCTGAAACAGCTGCTTTTGGCTGCTGCCAGCAGCCGGGTGAGGAACGAGACACTACGTGAGCAAAGGGCTTCAGCCAGTATGACAGGCCTTACATAACTCATGCAAAATTCTCTCTTTATAAGATTGAAAATAAATAGCATGTTCTCTTACGGAGCCCAGCCCGGGATGGGTTCACCACCGCAACAAGGGGTCGGTCGTCCTTCCACGATGACAGGAGTTGTGGTAACACAGTCTCTGCCTTCCCGCTGTGAAACTCACAGTTTGAAATTCCTGTGAAGCACAGTGGCAAACACACGGTGCAAGAACAGCAGATATATATCACCAGATATAAAGAGAAAAAAGGCTGACTTAGGCAAAACAAATATCCAAGTCTCTTATCATTGGAGGACAGTTCTTTGAGAAATGCGTTTGTTATACAAGATGCCATCCGCATGAGCACCGACCATCTCAGCCAAGTATTTCCCCACACTGTCCCAAACCACGTTTCCTACATGACCACCCAGCTCCAGTCTTTCACATCAATGAAACAGTGAGGGAAGGAGCGCTGTACCAACTTATGAAAGCAAAGAGAGGGGGGTCAATTGCAACATGAAGTACCTCCTCTTTTTGGTACCGCTGATGGCAGGTAGTTGTTAGGAGCCCTCCCCTCACTGTTGCTTCATATTTTTTCAACAGTTAGTTTGCAACTTTCTGCAATGGCGAGTCTGAACTCACCGTTGAGTGCTGCGTTCCACCTGGCATCCTCTATTGCCTTCTCCACTATCTCAATACCAATAACCTCGGACACTTGGCGAGCCAGAGAAAGACCGATTGTGCCTGGAAACGAGGGACACAGAAATACTGCGGACTTCCAAGCTGAAGAAACGGGGTTCTAGAGAGCAGGGATATATTTGGCACAAGCCTAGTCAGAGCCAGGCTCGCACTGCTCACGCTCCACGGCTGCTGCTCACCCGTGCCACAGCAGACATCAAGGAGGACAGTGTCTCCAGCAGCCTGGCTCAGCTTCCCCACCTCCTGGTACAGCACTTCTGCTCCACGTGTGTTTACTTGGAAAAAAGCATCTGGAGAGATGCGAAACTTCAGGCCAAGCAGCTCCTCAAAGATGTGTGGTTCTCCATAAAGGAGCTGGTAGGGCGACTGCTCGTGGGAACAGCGGGTCATAGTGCTTGAGGAACAAACACAGCAAGCCATTAGAAGGCAGAGCTTGCAAAGGGTTATCTTATTTCCATTTTTGCTCTTGGGGTGCTTGTGGGAAGGGGAGAACGGTTCTCCCCACACCTACTTTTATTTCCCCTGAACATTTCAGCAAGTTCAAAGGATTACCAATAAGGAATCTGTGACTTGCTCAATGTAAAATTCATCAACAGGGTCAAAATGACTGACTATAAGGCAGGGTTCCTAGGATCTATTCCCAGTTCAGCTGTCAGCTTGATTTATTGTCTTGGGAAAGCTCCTTCAGATTGTTTTTCTTCAGTTTCCTAGGCTCAGAGCTCTCAGGAGGTAAAGCCAAAGTGTATTAAAGTATTTCAGGTGCTTCAAGATAAAGAAAAGATGTGGCCATCTGAAAGTAGCGTTGGCAAGAAAGCCATCCAAGCATCTGTCATTCTCTTGAAGTGCTCCTGGATTGGTAGAACTTGAGCATGATCAGAGATGGGTGAGAAAAAGGAGACAGCTTTGTTTTCAGTCTTCCCTTGGGGCCTTTCCTTCGTACCGCAGCGCGCTGCAAGTTTCAGAAGGGTCAACACATTTACCTCTCTTGGAAATAAAGTGAAGTCAAGGCACAGACTGCTCCAGGTCCACAAGTGAAGAACTCCCTAAGCAATGCTTTCTGAGCAGCCAGTGCCTCCTGTCAAGAGCAAGAAAGGAAAAACCGTGTCTGGGTAATCTGCTTAGACACCTCTCCCCAGTTATACACCCAGCCAGTAGGCCCAGTGCTCCACCGAAAAGCCTAGCCGAAAATCGCACTGTCATAGAGCCCGTGCAAGGCTGAACATGGCATCATCTCTGACTGGGATTTTATAGATCTTAGATAGGTCCTGCCATTATTTCCTATGTGCCAGATGTCCTGTCAGCTGGGGGACCCTGACACTGACTTATCTCACTCAACATTAGATTTGTCCATAGGTCTATGGATACAAAACTGCCCATCAGCGGCTTTTTATGCATGTGAAGTGAAGCCTACTTCAGGCTTAATTCAGGACAGCTTTGACATCTTTATGTAAAATGGCTGCCTGCCATCCAGAAGCCTCTGGTCATGGTCAGGCTTCATGGACTACAGAGAGAAATAGCCTCTTTTTCCATCTCCGTTTCACGCAGAACCAGAAAGCTCCAGTTCATCCTCTCCAAACTGCTGCTGGCCCTTGCCAGGCTTGCGCCCGCTGCTTGCTAGGACTCCTGCTCAAGGGTGCTCACTTCAGGCACCTCTCAGAAGCCTCAGTCTCCTCCATCCTCCCCAGAAGGACGCAGGGAGCAAGGACACAGCAGCAGGACCTCCAGGACCAAGCAGCCAGTGTCCTTGGTGCCGGGGCCCCGGCTCCCCCCAAACTCACCTGGCCGAGCTGCTGGGGGTGGAAGGTGACGATAGCCATGGTGTGGCCGCGGCTGTTGGTGCGTACGATGAGCTCCCGCCAGTGTCCGCCGTGGTGGAAGAGGAGGCAGGGCTCCAGCGGGGAGTGCCGGAGGAACTCCTCGTAGCACTGCGGGGAAGGGAAGTGGCACTCAGAGGACCGCGAAGGCGCCCGAACCTACTGCCCTGGCCTTCGCGTGACTCGGCACGCCTCAGACCGGCGGCCGCCCCGCCGTTATTGTCGGCGTTTTCCTTTTCATTGAAACACACTGAGCGAAAGCTCTGTCAGAGTTTAGTCACTGGAAAGCGAGACACTTTGATCATTTCCATTTGTGATTTTCACGCATTTTTTGCAGGATTTAATTGTCACTCGATTAACTTCATCCTCCAGGACAGTTTAGAGGTTCTCACGCTAACTGTTAAGTTTTAAAAAATATTTGGGTGAGGACTGGAAACGTTCCCAACATGGAAATGCATGTGAAAGCCCCACATAAGCACATATTTTCCCCCAAGTACATGTTATTGCAGCCTCCCTCTATTCCCCAGGCTAGATACAGATAAGATTTTTTTTTTTTTTTACCTGGGCTACTAGTTTGTGTTTTGTGGGTATGTTCTCCATGTGGTCAGCTTTCACGCAGACAATATTTCTTGCTGGAGAGAGAAGGGCAGGTATTTAGTTGTTTCCACAGGGAACGGTGAGCCTCTGTGGCACCTGCCGTGATAAACTGTAGAAAGGTCTGCCCCAAGAATTGTCCCATTGTAAAGAAAACAAAACAAAACAAACCACCATCTCACAAACACAAACCCCCTAATGTCTAAATTCCCCCCCTAACCCCTATGAGATGCTGGGTAACTCCTATCACAGGGTCACAGAATCACAGAATGGTTGAGGTTGGAAGGGACCTCTGGAGATCGTCTGGTCCAACCTCCCTGCTCAAGCAGGGTCCTCTAGAGCATATTTCCCATATCCTTCAGGAGCTGCCAGAATTCCCCCTGCCATTGACTATTACTGCTATCTGCCATGGAGAGGCGAGTGCTCGGGCGCTTGCTTAAATGCCTGGTACCAGCCTCCAGAGGAGCACAGCACCGCGCTTTGAACGATGGAGCGGGAGCAGAGCAAGCCGATTTCCGAACCGGAGAACCGTGGTGGGGACGTAAGCAGTGAGGCAGCACCTCTTGCTAGGGGTGCGGAGTCGAAAAGCCTGAACACCAACAACATGAACTAGCTCACCACCGATTAGCTTAGATGGACCCGAGACCTGATGTGTCCATTGCACAAAAGCAAACCGCCCCGCAGAACGCCGCGCCGGGCGGCGGGACGTTCCTCTCGGCGCGCCGCAGGCTTAGGCACGTGGCAGCAGAGCCCCCCCGCTGCCACCCCCCACCCTGTCCCGCACTGACCTCCGCCCTTGTTTCGGTAGCCATTAATGACGGGCTGAAGGAAAGAGAAGAAAAAGTTCAGCCTTGGGTTAAAGAAAGGTAACGACGGAAAGCCAAAACCCGGTCTGGCTGTTCTATTAGTAACGTAGAAAGACATCCAGGAGTTTGCAAAATCCAGAAAGAGATTTTGGGCCTGAGACCCCCCCAGACCTATCCTGGGGAGAAGAAACAGCTGCCCGTGAGAGAACGGTGAAAGGTTTATCGGGGAGCGAGACCTGGGGGCAGCCCAGGCGGAGCCTTTCAGAAACCAGAGGAGTTCAAGCAAAGCTTGCTGGAGGCTCGGCGTGGACACTAAACCAGGACCCCTAATTAGCAGGCCCGTTTCGTGCTCTGGCAGTTGCAGAAACCAGCAAGGACGGCAGTCGTCACTGCAACCAGTTAATCCCCACCACGAAACTCTTCAGGAGCTGAGTGACCCCCGGTCAGGGCCTCAGAGCGGACAGCATCCCCGCGAGATACTCACTGAGGGGACCATAGGACGGAGAGGACAGCAGAGGCCCCCAGGTTTCTGCGCATCTATGCCCGCTTCCTCGAGGCGAGACGCCAGCGTCTGCAAAGTCTTCCTCTGGCTTTCAGACTTCACCTGCGGAGGAGTCCTAAGCCAGAAACCCTCTTGCAGGACCACGAGGCAGCGGGAAGGCGATGGTCACCCAGCTCGCGTGGCCCACACGAGGCAGGAGGGAATAGCACAAGTAGGACGTAGCCCTAGAGAAACCTGGACTTTCTCATGGCGCTGTACACCACTGACGCTCAGAGCCGAGCAGGGAGACAACCTGGGTCCGTGTCCCCAGAGCTCTGGGTCCCAGGGAGCCTCTCTGTCCCATCGGAGACCCCTCAGCCACAGCTCACTGGCTGCCCTGTACCGGAGAGGACCACCATGCAAGAACGTGTTCCTGGGCTCTTCATCATCGCAGAGGCCACCCATAGGGGACCTCCACACTTTCTGTCCCTCAGAATAACTGAAGGATTAAAGCAGCAGGAAACGGGGTCAGAACAGGCTGCAGGGTTCAACGGCAGAGGCTGCTAGAGGGGGGTGGAAGGGACAGCCGGGGCAACGAGGCACAAAAAGCCGGGTGAACACGTCTTACCTGCAGCTGCTCTTCATAGGGAAGTCTCCACAGCGGGGTGGCCGCATCCGCCAACCTGCAAAGCGCAACACAGGGCCAGTGCCCAGAACTGCTCGCCTGCCGGTACGAGCAGCCTAGCGTCCGTGCGCTGCACCAGCTGGCCGCCCTGCG